TCAGTACAGCATTTGATGTCAAAACATTTTAAAATCTGCAACATATATTCACTAGATCTTACATGAACAGCAATCCGTTCTTGACCTTTTTTAAATACTGCTTCGATATCTATTTCTAATTTAATCGTGTCAATAAATTCTAAGTAGGTTTTAAAGTTATTAATCACTATGTTGGAGAAGACTTCAGCTAATGCTTCGCCAGCATATTTAAAATTTGCTCTTTCTAACTTTAAGTTAGTTGTCTTTCCAGATGAGTCCAAAATTATGAAAGTTTGCGCAAATACGTAGCCACTCCTCGTCCAACTGTTTGAATGCACTTCTGCGCGGTGCATTTGTGGCAATTAATGAAGAATCCAAAGAAAAAGTAATGAAGTTGCAATTGACCATTATAATCGTTTTTTGATATCTGGGGTTTTTATCTGGTCCTCCGTCAGTAAACATTTTAAGAATTGGCATTGTATTACCATTCAAATCCAACATAATGTCTCGAAATAGCGGTAGTTCATATGATTTTTCAAAATATCTTGCGTGAGAATAAGCAGTGGACTTCGAATGTTTTGCTGATCTTATTGAAATATAGGTAGGACTCGAGAAGCGCACAAATTCTTTTTTGCCGAATGCATCTTTTTTAATTTTTAGCCCAGCATAGACTGATGGAATAAGTTTATGGCATAGAGCAATGACAAAATCGCGATCAGGTAATCTTACTTTAAATTCCATATGAGTGATCAAGGGAGCTTGTAAAATAGCTGTTGAGAGACCAATTGGCACTTTTGCTTTGTTATCATGGCTCACTAAAGCGAATTCTGCTGGTCCCAAGAATGAAACCATTTTCTTTAAACTCTCAATTGAATCAAAACAAAGTTTCGTATCCGGATCTCTTCCTGGTTAAATGATCTTACATAAACAGTAGTGACATGCTTCTTCCCATCTATTGTGTGAGAGTTTTTTGGTGCAAGAAGATAATAGACTGTTGATCTGCCCCTTCATTTTGCAAAGCTTCTGTTAACTCATCAAGAAATTTAACTGTTCTTAAAGTCTCGCATCTTCGTTTGTCAGCTGCAGCAGCGCCGTGAGTGGCAATTTGAATTATTGTTGATAGTAATTCCGGTTGACTTTCAATAGCAGAAGGGTGTCCAGTCTTTTCATGAGTTCTCTATTTAGAGGCAATCTCGAGATAATCTTTTAAGGTCTCAGCCAATACTTTTTTCTTTCTTACTCGGGATTCTTTCTGTCGTTTACGACTATCCTCAAGTAATCATATTTGTTTTTTAGTACTTATTTTTTCTTTTGCCAATTTTTGAGTTATCACATTGAAAAAGCATCCCGCATTTTTTTTGAAGCAAAAACGTAATAAGCTCTGACTTCACAATTGATAGCTAAATTAAGGCCGGCGCGATGGGTGTGTGTGTGTGTTTATGTGTGTGTGACGGGAAGGGGTCACCCCCAATCAATAGATTTTTGTACCTACTCGTGCCGGCCCTCTCTCTCTCTCTCTCTCTCTCTCTCTGTAATATATATATATATATATATATATATATATATATATATATATATATATATATATATATATATAATATATATATATAATATATATATATAATTTATATTTTATATTTATATATATATATATATATATATATATATATATTTATATTTATATTTATATATATATATATAAATATATATATATATATATATATATATTTATGTATATATATATATATATATATATATATATATATATATATATATATATATATATATATATATATATATATATATATATATAATATATATATATAATATATATATATATATATATATTAAATGGCTAAAACTCTTTTTGTTAAAATGACTAACTGCATGACATTAAAAAAGTACGTATGTTAAAATAGTGTAGAGGAACATGGAGCAAGATGAAAAACGTTTTAAAAAACACTTATATCTCAGTCAATAACTGTTCCATTAAGTAAAACTTTATCAAGAAGTAATAACAAATTATTATTCGCCACAATTGTATCAAAGAAACCTTATACAAATTAAAAATAGCTGGAGAAAAACTCTTTAACATATGTCACCTCGAATAGTCATCTTACCCCGTATGCGGAGCAAGATGGCGACAACAAAAAAAGTAAATGCATGATACTGTTAACGTCTCAAAAAAAAAGCAATATAAATTTTAGATAATAAAATTAGTAATACAAAGGGTGATTTAATTTTCAAAACAATTTAATTATATATTTATATATAGCTATGCAAAAATAGCACCCTACTAATTAGTTAATAGCGAAATCAAACCCAACAAAACAAAGCAAAATACTTTAAAGAATAATAAAATAATGCAAAAATAATGACTAAGCTTTGCAAGAGTAACATACAGTACACATAAATTTGGTTTCAACATACTGGCCACAAGTTAAATGACACCAGTGATTACAGGATTTACACATATCCCAGTCATCATCAAGCAATGGATCGTTAGGAACACCATAGATAATTTCACAATACCAACATGAAATTTCTTGATTTTCGCAAACTTTGTTAGATATTTTTATCACTCTTTTTTTGCTTTTTTTGTTCTTCGTCTTTTTACCTTCATTTGCAGCTGTTATTTTAACTTGGTCCTTCTTCTCTTTAAAAACTTTCTTCAAATCTTGCTTTACCAATTTTTCTTGTTTCTTGAGTGTAGCTAATTGAACCGCAGCTTTGAAAGGCGAACTTGTTGCCACCTTGGCTCGCTAACATTTTCTCTTACGACTAGCATTATTTAAAACTCTAGAAGCAATCGGATAAGGCCGAATATTCTCAGGTAATACAGTTTTGGGCACTTGGTTCAAATCTATTTGGGTTCTATTAACATTTATATCTAGGTTTGACTAAATGCATTTTGGTTCACTGTTAGCATTCGGCAACAATAAAGAGTCATTACCATTAAACAGTACAGTTAATTCTGTTGTGACTGCATTAATTACAGGCTTTAAAGTTGACTGTTGATCTTCAACTAAAAAACACTATATATTAAAATTATAAAATTAATTAGGTTAATTAAGTTTACGTTATTTAATATTCTATTATTAAACATAATTCTAATATACTATAGATAAGCTGAAGTTATTAGCTTATTTAAATGATAAAGATACAAATTGTTGGGTTAAAGTTTGTAAATAAAAACAAACTTTTGGTTTTAAAAAACAAAAAATTTAACTGTCATAAATAATATATAATTTACATAGGGTAAAGTGAGGTTAACTGGGTACATTTTTTTTTCGGGCGATGTAATTGTAACAAATTACTGCTTTTCAATATTTTTTCTGTTCATAACTATGAGAATATTAATATTCTATCTAATAAATTCAAATGAATTAGTTAATATATGCTGTGGCCTTGTAAATATTGCATTTTTTAGACATGTGTCCCGTGGCCCAGTTAACCACAGTGACGGGTTTAACTGGGCCACCCTATGGGGTTGACTGGGTACATACTAGTGAAACTACAATAATATTAGTTTTTATTTTGAAAATATATTTAGTTAAAAAAGATAGAATTAATAAGCAAAATAAACGTGATAACAATAAAATTATACAATAAAAAAAACACAAATTAGTGAAAAAATACACCTTCGATGTGATAAAATTGTATGAATATTTCAACTGTTAAACATTAATAAAACACTATGTTTACATAACAATGGAATAATCTGAAAAATCGAATTGAAAGGAATATAAATTGGCGAATCGTCCCGTTTCTCCGTGAAATAGAGGAGTTGGCAATTTTCGAACAATATCGGATGCAGGAACGAAGGTCAGCTCCTCATCTGTTTTTCTAAAATTTTGTTGTCCTATTTTGATTTTTCAGCCACTTTACGCTGAAACCATCTTGCGTTTTTGAGATTATTTTGGCAATATAGTGCCTGCTAGACTTTTTCTTAGCTCCGTGCACCATAGCAAGCACGAAATCATCGACGGTTATGGGCTGGTTAAAATCATCCGTATCTTCTCCAGAAGATAATTCTGAAATATCCAATGAAGAATCGGCATACTCTACTTCTGATGATCCTTTATCACTGGACTCTATTAATATTTTACGCTTTTCTTTTCTTGGGGCAATGGACTTAGGCTTAGATTTATTTGCACGCATTTGTGCAGCTTCTTCCAATTGCCGTTTGACTGGAGTATCCGTTAAAACAGCAGACTTTCCTTTCTGCCTTGGTTTTCTGTTATTTTTACGCATTCCGGCTTTAGGGAATGGTCGTATTTGTTCCGGAGAAATAAGTTGACAGTCAGTTAGTGAGGTTGGTATTTCTATGGTGGTTGATACTGATGTTGAGGGTAATGTTGTCGATTCAATGGTTGTATCTGAAACAGTTGGATCTGGTCTATCTGTAACTGTTGCAGCTAAAAAATCTTCCTCTGTAAATATTTGGGAATCAAATGGACAGATTCCTGCTGCTTTGAACCCTTGGGAAATATTCCTTGGCGTAAATGCTAACGGAAAAGCAGTCCCCAGTAATTCTCCTATGTCATAAATTGTGATTGGAGTCGCAGGATGGTTTGTCATCCAATCATTGCAGGCTCTATTGTAGTGTTTTTTTAAGGGACCGAATACGCTCACATCCAGAGGCTGCAACTTATGGCTGCAGTGCGGAGGGAAGGTCAGCAACATTATGCCATTAGTCTTTGCATAATTCAACGCAGAAATACTTAAGTGGCTCTCGTGGTTGTCTAATAATATCAACTTTGGACTGTCTGTTGTAGGTCTTACGTGATCGACAAAATGTTTGAGGACATCAATAAAAATATCTGAAATCATCCATCCAGATTTTGTTGCTGCACCTTTTGTTCCAACAGGTGCGCCTTTAATCATGTGTTCCTTAAAAAACACTCTGGGAAACAGCAAATATGGAGGTATTGCAGTTCCTGTAGCTCCAACAATACAACATGCTGTAACCAAGACACTTCGTTCAGCTGATGTTGCCTGGCCAACTTGCTTTTGCCCCTTTAAAGCCAAACTTTTACTGGTTTATGTACACTTGTGAGACCAGTCTCATCTAAGTTAAAAATGTCTTGTGCTTGTAGATTAAATCGGTTAATAACATCTTCTAAATTTGAAAAAAATGCTCCAACATTAGTTTCATTGAAACTAGTGCAACGGCTAAGACTAGTTTGTTCGGGGGTTCTTAGCGCCAAACTCTGTCGTCTCATAAATGAATGCAGCCATTCTATTCCAGCCATTTTTTCTTCTGTCCAATTACATTTCACGTTTTTGTTATTTGCTATGGCAAACTCAAAAGCTAAGCGACGAACTTGGGTAAATGAAAGTCCATGATGCATGTTGACTGCATCTTGAATATATTTTTTCAATAGCAATTCTTCACTTGAGTTGAAAACGAGTAAATGTTCATTTGATGGTCGAAAATTAACCTTAACTCCATCAGGTGTATTTTTAACTTTGAGCACATACCTGGCTAATGTATTTTTTGGTATCTGATGACTGGCCGCTGCTTTTCTTATCGATAGTTCTCCTTTTATAATTTTTTCAGTTGCCGTTTTTAAAGCATCAATGGAATACGATCTGTGCGTTGTGGTACGTTGACGTTGACGGGGCATTTTAATTTAATTTATTTATAAACTGGAATTAAAAAAAAACATAATTAGTTGATATAAATGTTAATTAAATGATTATATTAAATTAATTTTTCATTGGTGGGGTTAAGTGGGCCGTCCCATATAACCACATGAATAGCCGGCCCACTTAACCCCACTATATCAAAATTCATATTTTTACAAAAACTTACCAGTATTTTAAATATTTGCGTAATTTGTGATAATTATTCAAATAGGCACTATATTAAAGTTCAGAAATCAGTTATTAAAACTCACAAAACTTGATAAACACAGATTCTATCAACTTTCTAACGCTGCAGTAAAACAATACATGTGACATCCAAGAACAACAAATGCTTAATAAAATTTTAAAATGGATGTCATTTGCATTCAAAATCAGCAGCAAGTAGTGCCGCCTAGTGGATCGTTTGGGAAACATCAATAAAAGCGGTGTATTCAAAGTGCAGAAGTATGAACAGCCAGTGGCCCAGTTAACACCTGTACCCAGTTAACCTCACTTTACCCTACTTATTCCTGGTTGATTATTGGATATTTTCTGATAAGTTGGCGCTGTGCAATTACTTGTCAACGATGGTGCAAAGTCAGTCAAAGAAAAGATCTGTGGATTGAAGGGCCAGATTCTAGTTTATTAATATCCTTTTCTTGCAATACCAGTTGTTGCTGATCTGCCATATGCATGTCTTACAAGTGCAGGAACCTGTGCTTCAGTGATAGGTCTACCTACAGTGGCAACAAAATAAATAGCACAGATTGATATCCAAAATGTAATGCTTTATTTTCCAGAGACCTAAGTTTTTGAGGCCTAAACTTTTTTAGCCTAATAATATATTAGTTATAAAAGATAACATTACTGATTAAATAATGAAAGTAGCTTATGTAAAAAATTACAACCATATAAATGATTTAAAACTACAGAATTTGGGGGCAACTTAAATAGCACATCCTGTACAAAAATAAAATTTTGTCCTTTGGCTACAAAAACCATTGAAGTTCTTTGTATAAATAGTTAATAAAACTTTTTTTGAGGAAAATTAATATTTAGTGGGGTATCCTTTTGAGTCAATAACCGCTTGACAACGACGGCCCATTGAGGAGACCAAGTTTTGGCATCGTTCAGGCGTAATGGCGTCCCAAGCAGCTTTTATTTCGACCCAAAGATGGTCTAAATTTGTTGCAGTTAAACGGTTTATGTTTCTTTCAAGTTCCTCCCACAAACTTTCTATTGGATTTAGGTCTGGTGACTGTGCGGGCCACCCTAAAACGTCAATCTTGTTAGCGGTAAGCCATATTTTAATACTTTTGGCGGTGTGCTTGGGGTCATTGTCTTGTTGGAATATCCAAACTAGAGGGAGATTTTCTTGGGCATATGGCAACATCACATTTTCTAGTATTTCTTTGTAGATATGTTGATCCATCGTGCCTTGAATTCTATACAACGGGCCTACTTCACTCCATGAAAAACTACCCCAAACAATCACCTTGCCACCACCATGTTTAACGGTCTTTAAAGTATACTGAGGGCTGAGTTCTTGGTTCTGGGGACGACGAACATATTGCTTTCCATCGGATCCAAAGCGATTGAACTTAGACTCGTCAGTCCAAAGCACATTTTTCCAAAAACCCAAGTCCTTGTGTACGTACTGTTTTGCAAACTTCAAACGGCTGACGAGATTACGTTTTGAGACCAATGGTTTTTTTGAGCAACCCTTCCAAACAGCTTATTTTCGCGTAACCAACTTTTGACTGTGCTGACAGACAGAGTTTTAAATTTTGAGCAATTTGTTCTTTTATTTTTGGTGCGCCAGCAAAAGGATTCAGCTAAGCAATACGAACAATGGCTGCGTTTTTTTTCGTTCGTGATTCTTTCGTTTTTTGTTGCTTAATGAACCAGTATTGTTAAATAATTTAATAGCACTGATAACTTTCTTACGAGAACAACCAAATCTATTTGAGAATTGTTCAATCCTTGATCTCGATATGTCTGTACTTGTCCTCGAAAGACATCTGTTCCAAAATTGACAGAAAATTATTATTTTATTATTTTTTGCTAAAAATATACAAGAATATACTTAGAATATTAAATAAAATGATTATTTTTTGATATATCGTCAGCCGAGAACCAAGAGGCCGTATGTCTACTTTTTGTGATTCCGAGTAATCCGAAATTCAAATTTTGGGGTACAAATACTGACTGTTGTACTTTATGTAAACTATTCCTATTTTTAGATCTAATAGTAAATTAAGTCTAATTTTCTATAGAAGTGATAAAATCTTGTTTGAAAGGGTCGTTTAACAATAAAAACGTTGAAAACTGAACCTGGTTATGGACATGCAGCCTGTTGGTTTTCATTTTTGTTAAGTTTATAAAATTTAAATGCTTTTTTTTTTTTTTTTTTTTTTTTCTGAAAGCGCTTTATTTGATGACATTAAATGTGAAATATAAAAAAAATGTTTTTAATTTTTGGTGGGACTTTTGCTGGTTCTATTTTTAACCTCTTTACTGGTTCGTACCTTACTTTACTACTTCGTACCTTACTTTACTAGCTTTGTTAGTTAACCTCTTTGTTAACCCTTTAAAGTATTTATAAAACTATAATGTAGTTTTAGACATCATAAAATCGAATAATACTGCAAACATATTTTATTTTGCTAATGAGGGTCAGTTACATTGGGCACAAACACAAATGATTAATAGTACAATCAAAGTTACATAATTTTAAGTTTTAAATAAAATTAAAAAAAATTGTTTAAATGTTTTAAGGTTGTACTAATAGTTACTATGAATTAAAGATTGATTCAAACAATCTGTTACAGTTAAAAATTAAGTACAACGACCTGCAAATTAAAATTTTTACAATATGATCAAAATTAAAAAGATAATAAAAAGTTCATAAAATAAAGAAGTCAATAGAGCTGCAAATTGCAGCAAAGAACATTGGCCAATAGTTAAAGTAAAACACTAGTTAAATGATTGCAATACTAATGTCATATATTCATTGTCTTGAAGAGCCATGAACTTTATCATCAATTTTAGATCTTCTATCTTTTCCTTCGATATAATTTTTTTTTTGGAAGCACCTTTGGTTGCAAAAATGTTTCATAATTTCTTATTATTTTGTTACCTGAACTTTGGTTTCGTGTTTTAAAGTTGACAATATTTTCCACCTTATATTCACAATCAAGCGTATTCTTGTATTCCACACTCAATGGCTTATCTGCTGAGTATTTAAGTACCTTTACTTTTGTATATGGAATACTTTTAAACAACGAATAATTCTTTGCAACAGATTGAAAGTCCATCATCTGCTCTTCTTTAATTTGAATCAACATGATTGGATTCTTTCGAGGAATGTATTTTAGTATTCTGACAAGGCCAAACGGACTGTACACTTCAGCTACTCCCATATTTCTTTCAATAATTCTATGCAAACTGTCTATTTCCTGTTTCACACTATGTCCTGGCTCACAAAATTTCTGAATGACTGTTTTAATTTGCAGATGATTTTGTAAGAAAATTTTTAAAGCAATCGTCATAAAACTATTTCGGTTCTGTGGTACACAAGAGTCGCTCCATAAGCAAATTTCAGTAACAAGAGGTTCATCCGCAACTATTTGATCTAGTATAACAAGAAGAGCACTAGCTATATCATTTTCTGAACGGCCACTTGTAAGCTCTGACCAGAGTGCACCGTAACTTTTTTTGTATATTGAGCACTGTGTAGTCAAATGAAAAACAGTCAACTTTCGTTTGTAAAAAAAGTTAGAAACATTTGCTGTTGGTATGCTGAACACTTTTTCCATATCGAAGCAAACAATACATTTGCTTTTATCAAGTCAATCACGATCACGTTCTTCATTTGTCTCAACTTTGTTTTTTGTGTGGATTTCATGTAATGCTGTTTCATTTAAGTTAGGTGAAGGATTCATTTTCATACTTTCACATTTGTCACATCTTTTTTTAATGTATGAACTTCAATATTAAACTCTGTGTTTAATATTGTTCTATACATACTTTTTTTTGCAGGAACAACATTGTCTAAAACACATTTTTCACAATATTTCTCATAAAAAATGGTCATACTCAGATTTTCTTAAATGTACTCTTTGTTTGTACTTTTGCGACAGTAGTGACTGTCAATTCTGGGAATGCTTTGAATATGTTTACGTACAGAATCTTTAATATTATTCGGGACAGTTCGACTAGGTACTTTACCTCGTTTATACTGTTGAGGTGTTCCTGTTGTTTTATTTTTTGTTGAGTGGTGATTTCGAATTCTTTTTTCATCAATATCTAGAGTACATAGATAAAACTCTTTGCAAACACGTATGAGTTTGTCAGAAACAATAAAGTAATATGACTAACTTTTTTTTTTCAATTTTGGATTTTCAGCCAAACGACATCTTTTTTTGTTTTCTACGATTGTAGTTTGGGAGTAGAAAAGACGCTTTTCTTGATCATTCAAAGTCCAGTGTTGTTTGTGCAAAGTTTCTTGATCAATAACACTAATTTTTATTTTACATTTGAAATGACACACTGTGTGATCTCTCTTACAATATTTAATAAATTTCCACGTTTGTATTTTATTGTTTGAGCCTACGTATTGCTGACCACTCTGTCTAAGTGTCTTTCTTATTTCTTTTTTTTCTTGCAAAACAAACACATAAATATTCTTTCTTCACTTTGGTTAGGATAAATTAAAATAGGTAGTCTCGTTTTCGTTTGCGTGTAAGATCCTTTCCAGTTCTTCTGTGCTTTCTGACACTTTCTCTGGGATTTTCCTTTGAAGTGGTATGAACAAGTAAATCATCAATTTTATCAGAATTTTGTGATTGAATCCCAGATAGAGGTTCAGAGGAATTGATCTGAATAGTAGGTTTTAATTGAATGTCTGCAACATCTTGTTCCTTTGAGTTTCTAAATTAATATTATAAAAATTAATTTATATATATATATATATATATATATATATATATATATATATATATATATATATATATATATGTATAGATAACATAACTTGTCAAGTTAGGTTATCCTGCTACTGGTAACATGAAATCCAGTACAACCTGTTTCATGTTAACGTCAGGAAGGGCATACGATTGTAAAAAATTGCTTCAACTCTTACATAGTGGCATTTATGTCACTTTGTAGAACCATCCAAACCACACTAGTCTGGAAACATGGATGTAAAACTTCAAATAAAAAAAATAAAAAAATATATATATATATTTAGCAACAATAATAATAATAATAATATTAAATATATAATAGTCATAAGAAAGGAGCAGTCTGAACTATTCATAATTTCATAACTTAGAGTATTCAAAAGTTATATTCGTACCTTTGAAAGACTTCCTCAGTAGTTTCATCAAACGCCATTTTGAAAAAAAAAAAAAAAAAAAAAAAAAAAAAAAAAAAAAAAAAAGTGAAGTTTTAGCGGCAAAAGCAAATTCTTAGCTGAAAAGAACCCAAGTTTTGTCTTATGATTGGTCAAAGGATAT